AAGCAAGTGTCCCCTTGCAAGCCTATGGAAGGAGACCCTTCAGGACCTGGGTAACCCTCAACCTTCGGTTTTAACCCAGGAGGGGGGTAAGCCCAACCCTGGAGACCAACACAGAATGAGAAAGAAATAAAGAAATTCCAACTGCGACAAAAATGCTGCAGAGTTACTGGAGAGAGAGCGCTGGAATTCCGAGAACAGAAAAGGACTGCTTTTCCTCCTTAAACTGATATAAAGGGAGGTGGGGGGAGAAGTATCTTCTGTAAATACATAATACCTTTTACTTAAATAAAATTACTGTAGATATAATTCTTTAGTTTTAGTATAATAATAATAAATACTCATACTTTTTTTCAATTCAATCTCTTTTTATCTGCATAAACCTTCTCTCAACTAATAATAATTATATGTAGAAGTATAAAAATAAATTAAGCCAGGACAAAACCACGACAATATGTCAGCATTACATGATTATTTATTTTTTGTTCCCTGCATTCTTGTTACATATTCATGACATTTGCCAACACTAATTAGCATATATACATATCCTTATAAGGTCTCTGAGGGGCTTCATCAGGGGTCTCTGGTGGTCATCTGTGTCTGGAGCCCCCAAATTTCTAAGTGGTCACCTTATGAACTTCAGGACAATTCACCCGGTTAATAGAGGAACTTGGTGTTGCTTGGTTGTCTGCCTCAGTTCCCTTCTTCATTGTTTCTTTACTTTGTTTGGTTAGCCCCTTTAAATCACTTGGCTCAGATATACGTAGTTGCTATGGTAAATTCTGTTGCAAATACTATTACTTCTTGTTACATCTCTGAACCCCGACACAATCGAAAACTTATCCAAATTATCTAGTGCCTTAATAATACCGATCAAGGTTCTTAATACTATGTAAACAAACTTAAGTTAGAGCAGCTATCCATCCTTTTGAGACCTTTTTAGAAAAAATGTTTTTGCCTCATTTACACATCCCGTAACATCCTACTTTGCGAATTTGAAATAAAATTCATATACCAACCATTAATGTTGGAACTATGAAAATTATGACAATCAGTTTTCTTACAATCACACTTAAATTTGGAATCCATGATGTTATGCAATCAAATATATCTTCCCCTTGATTTTTTGTATTTCATTAAAGATTCTGGTGTTCTTTCTAATTTCTTCCAAATCAATCTGAATTCTCAAAGTCTGATCTGCCCATACACAGCAACTGGTGTTGATGAGTGTGCACATACCACCTCTGGAAGCCAAAAGCAGACCTAGAACCATTTGATTCTGTTTGACTACCTTTGAAAGGTTGGTAATTTCTTGTTGCAAAGTGCTAATTGCATCATTTGTTCAGTAACTCCAGATATGTTCACTATAGCCTTCTCCAATTCAGGTACCCCTAACCATGGTAAGAATCCTCTCACAAACTTGTGGAATCCAGAGGACCTCTCAGCTAATGGATTTAAAATTCATTTGTGTCATGATATAAAAGATTGTAGATGTCCTCTGGGTAATTCTGATATAACAATGACATCTACTTTTTGTACTACAGCTCCAATGGTGCATATTCCTTGCCATCCAGGAGGTAGAGCTTTTCTAGTTTGACCTCTGCAAAGCCAGTAGTATCCCATATTATGTGGAATAGGCCACCAGTGTGTATTTAAAATGCCTATTCCTGTTACATCTAAATGTGAATTACACTTGGGATAATCTCCTACAATTATTCCTTGTTTACAATTAGGTGACTCCATTTTTTCAGTGAGAAGCTACTCCTGGTCTCTTTAGGCATCTTTGAACACAGGAGGTCTCAATGACTGCTATTTCCACTGACAGAATTTGTGCATCTATGGGGGTTTGTGCTGTTTTTTCTTCTAAAAGGGGCATCAGAGGGAGACCATTGGAGAATATATTTGGTGTTGGAAGTCCCATCATTTGAATGCTTGCATCCGAATGAGTGGGAAACTGTGAACAAATCCAGTAGTTACTGCTGTTTGTTATAAGTGTCACTGCTTGCATTAGCTTTAGGTGTGAATTTTTCTTCCAAGGGTCAGGTAGCATTTTCTCTATGTGTGTTATATTAGAGCTGCCCTTAGATAAATGGAGGTTGGTGTCACGTGGGACTGGGGTAACTCTTTGAAGTGCCCAGTGCAGGGGCTGCAGTGGTCTTTTCCCTTGGCAACTATACCCAGGAACATGGAAGTGAGTTTCAGAAGCACTGGGGATTTTATCCCCTGTCTCCTGAGTTCCTGCAATGCTAAACTTCAGGGGCCCACCTTTCATGCAGGTCTCGAGATGCTGGGACAGTGCCTCCCTGGCTCAGTTCTGATGGGGTGGACGGGGGGGAGGGCGGTCCCCCACACCCTGAACCACGTGGTGATATGAAATAATTCACCAAAATTCTTTCCTATTTAACTGAAACTACAACATTATCCACCCTGAATATTTTACACCATCATGTTTGTCGTGGTTTTGCCCAACTGGTCAGCCCCTGGGGTTGAGTGGTTTTGTCAAGGTGAATTTCCGGACAAGAAGCCAATTAAAACTCTCAGTGACGCCTTTGCTAATTACATATTTAAGAAAACGGAAGAGAAGGGTCGTGTTGCAGTTGAAATTAGGGGTAGTAGCCATGTAGAAGAGCAGTGGCCCCGAGGAGGGCCAGGCCTCCCCCGGCTTGGGCCGGGGGAGCAGGTGTAGCACTGAAGCCCCCCCCCTCTCTTGTAAGAGAGTGAAGAAAAAAAAACAACTTTAAAAGTTGAACTGTTTAGACATAGACCGTGGCAGAAGAATTCCGGCAAAGAGATAACGAAATGTTCAAGGTCAGAGCTTCAGCAGGAGAGAGAGAGAAGAGAAATTAGAAAGGGGGGGCTACTTCTTCCCCCTTTTGTTCTCTCCCTTCAGCAGGGAAAAGACTGAAAAGTAATCCCTGCTACCTGTGGAAATTTGTTGGGGTGAGGAGACCCCCCATGCAGCTCACAGAGGAGCTCGTAGATGATGTACCAGGAAGCCGAGACTTCATGAAAAGGACTGAGATGAAACAGAGTCCTGTTGGAGATTTGTGACCCTGAGAGAACCTCACGTTGGAGCAAGAACGGCTTGGGTGAGATGTTGGGATCTCAGTGAGAGATCCATGCTGGTGTTGGAGATTTGTGACCCTGAGAGCCGTACGCTGGAGCAGAAAACAGCTCGGGAAAGGATGCTGGGATCCAAGTAAGGGATCCATGCTAGACCCATGTTGAGAGGTCTATCAAGGACTGTTCTCCCATGGGAAGGAAGGGACCTCCATAGGGAACAGGAATGGACTTATAAGCCATTATCCCCTGTAACCCTGTGGAAGAAGATCCATAGTAAGTAAGTGTCCCCTTGCAAGCCTATGGAAGAAAAACCTTCAGGACCTGGGTAACTCCCCAGCCTCTGGTCTTAGCCCAGGAGGGGGGTAGGCCCAGCCCTGGAGGCCAACACAGAGAAAGAGAAAGAGTTCCAGTTGCGACGAGAGTGCTGCAGAGTTACTGGAGAGAGAGTTGGAACTCCAAGAATGGAGAAAAGGACTGCTTCTCCTCCTTGGACTGATATAAAAGGGGGGAGGAGTATTTCTGTAAATACTTAGTACTTTTACTTAAGTAGCATTATTGTAGATGTAGTTCTTTAGTAACTTTTAGTTTTTATTTTACTAATAATAAATGTTCATACTATTTTCCCCAAATCCTGTCTCTTTTGTCTGCATAAACCTCCTCACAACTAATAGTAATTGTGTGGAGGGTGTGAGAGCAAATTGACCCAGAGCAAAACCACGACAATGTTATATCAGATTTAAACTTTCCAAGAATACAAATACATATATATATATATACATATTCCAACTATATACACACAAATATACAGGTACAGTGTTATGGAGAGTTTACCCAAAAATTAGGTCCCTTTGTTTCCCCATCTTTCTGCATTCCCTACCAAGTGCAACCTGGTCCTTGCGTAAAAACAATCCCAAGAATGGGTTTGCCTTTGCTTGAGGCAGGACTAATCCAAACCATTTTCCCTAACATACGTCTCAGGTGCACAATGGGGACTTCATCTACAGAGTGAAGGGGCTCTGATTGGGCAGGGCTGGTTTGGTTGACAGAGCCTCTAGTGTTGACTAACCAAGTACCCTTTGCTAAATGCTGATCCCAGTGCTTTAAAGTCCCCCCGACCAATGCCTTCAAAGTACTTTTCAACAGTCCATTACATTGTTCAACTTTCCCAGCAGCTGGTGCATGATACTGAAGCAGGAAGGGTTAATCGAAACACTTTTACTCTAAACCCACAAGGGCCCCCCTTACCCCCTGTATTTCGTTTAATGTAAGTTGTACTTTTACAAGAAGGCTATGTTCTGTATTAAGAGCATTAGACCTTAAAGGAACCACAACAAACACTAGACAAAGAACTCAACACACATAAATCTCATCCAGAGGAGCCAAGGTAGACATTTGAATAGGCAAAGTAGGCCTAGAGCCAATGGTCTCTTCAAGTCTGGACGATCAGGACACGAGAACAATGGATAGAACAAAAGGTCACGGATGTCACCCGAGGAAGATGAGTAAAATGCAGACCCTAGGATGAAGGCAGGCAGGAACTCCCACCATAATATTCCTCAAAATAGAGACCACGCCTCCATCTCCACCCCGACTCCACCTGCTATGAATATTGTAACCTAATGATGCAATAATATGAATATGCATGTGATTATGTTGTAATCATGATTAGAAACTGTATAAATTGCTTGTTTTTACTGAACCACTTCGGAGCTTTTTTGTCCAGACTGAGCTGGAAGCTACCCCGGCGTCGTTAATCATTCAATAAATACCTCCTGTTTATAGGCTCAAAATTCTGCCTTTAAGCAGTTTTTTTTATCTGCCTTTTTTTTGGGCATCAATACGGGGTTATGATATACCCACTCAATACCATGCTCTTTAGCCCAGGTGGTAACTAGACTATTCTTGAAATGAGTCCCATTGTCTGACTAAATTTGCTCTAGGGTGCCATGTCAACACAGAACTTGCTTTTCAGGGCTCAAGATGGTGTTCCAGGCAGTGGCATGAGGCACAGAGTGCATCTCCAGACATCTGGTGGTTTCTTCCACCATGGTAAGCATATAGCATTCACCTTGGTGGGTTTGTGGCAGTGTGATGTAATCAGTCTGCCAGGCCTCTCCATATCTATACTTGGTCCATCTCCCACCATACTACAGGGGCTTTAGTCTCTTAGCCTGCTTGATTACAGCATGTTTCACAATCATGGATAACCTGAGAAATACTGTCCAAGGTTAAATCCACCCCTCGGTCTCATGTCCACCTATTCGTGGCATCTCTTCCCTGAGGACCTGAGGTAGTATGGGCCCACTGAGCTAGGAATAAGTGTCCCTTCTCCTGCCAATCAAGATCTGACTGTGACACTTTGATTTGGGCAGTTCAGTCTTCCTGTTCATTGTTGCGATGTTCTTTATTTGTTCAGCTTTTGGGCATGTATGTGTCTACATTGTGGGCTCTCACAATCAGCTTCTCCACCCGGGCAGTGATATTGGAAGCCCACCAACACCGGGAAAAGATGACCCCGAGGAGGGAACAAGCCACTCATATTATACTAGGGTCGCAGAACGAAAGGCTAAGGAAATAGAGGAACGAAAGGCTAAGGAAATAGAGGAACGAAAGGCTAAAGAAATAGAAGGAGGTAAGGCTAAAGAGAAAACAAAGGGGGTACCACATACCATAGCCCCCTCCGTCAAATAATGCCAATAGTGGGAGAGCAATCGAGAGTCAAAATACCTTTCACAACCAGTGATTTGAATAGCTGGCGAGATGAAGCTAAATGCTTTAGGAAAAATCCAGAAGGGGTTGCTAAAAGATTTGAATTGATTGAGAAAAACTTAGATATAGATTGGGAAGATATAGATCTCATGTTGTCAGAACTAACAGAAACAGAAAAAGAGCTTGTGTTAAAAACAGGGAAAACACATGTTGCCTTACTACCGGGAAATACTGGGGATATATTTCCTACAGAAAATCCAAAGTGGGATCCAAATGACTCGATTCAATATGACTTACTAGTGCAGTATAGAAAATTAATTGCTTTAGGTTTACGACATGCAATTCCTAAAGCAATAAACTGGGCAGTTTTGTATGACGTGAGACAGGGATGAGACGAGACACCCTCAGATTTCTTAGAGAGACTCAGGGTTGCCATGAGGCAATATACACCATTGGACCCCGCATCAGAGACTGGGAAACAACAATTACTAGCATTACTTATGGGGCAAAGTAATCCAGACATTAGAAAGAAACTGCAAAAACTAGAGCATCCAGCAGATAAAGATTTAGAAATGCTGATGAATGAAGCCTGGAAAGTATATAATAACAGGGAGCAGGAGGAAAAGAAAAGAGAGGATAAAAGGTTTGCCAAAGCTGTAGTCATAGCGATGACAACACATAAATCTAAACACCCAGGTTCAAATTCACACAGCGTCAATAAGGATCGCAACAAGTTTCAGCCGGAAAAAGTTCCACTCCTCGACAGAGAAAGGTCGAGTTAGACCAGTGTGCATATTGCTTTCAAAAGGGACATTGGAAGCGAGAATGTCCTAAAAAGAAAGAGAAAAGTACTGTCATTGCCCTTCAAGGTAGTGACTGAAGTAGACCGGTGGGCCAATCCCTAGCAGACCCACTGGTTAAATTGGAGCTAGGGGAAAATGAAAAGGAAATAGACTTTTTAATCGACACTGGAACAATATTTTCAGTTTTAAATCAGGAATTAGTGCCAAAAAGTGATGAATTTATTCAAGTGATGGGAGCTACAGGTCAATCAGAAAAAGCTTTCTTTTTGAAACCCCTAAAATATAAAATTGGGAAACAAATGGGAATTCACCAATTCTTATATTTGCCTAATTCTCCAAAACCCCTTCTAGGTAGAGACTTGTTAGAAAATCTGGGAGCTGTAATAAAGTTTAATAAAAATAAGCTTGAATTTCAAGTGAATGAAGATCAATTTATAATGGCCTTAAGCCTAACTATCAGTTATGTAGAACCAAAACCAAGCAATCATAGTATTGAACAAATTATGAGTGAAACCTTCCCGTTAGTATGGGCGACAGACGTCCCTGGAAAATCAAAGCAAGTGGCCCCAGTAGTCATAGAATTGAAACCAGGAGCAAAACCGGTGCACAGGAAACAATACCCATTAAGGTTAGAAGACAGGAAGGGAATTGAACCCATAATAGAAAAATTTATAGAATTGGGATTATTAATTGTCGCAGACGCGTGAAAGCAGGGACACTCAATATGAGAATCAACATGTTCCATTTATTGAACACACACCACAGCAAAATATAGGATAGATAATGAGCTTATTAATATTCTGTAATTTAACTACATGATTGGTAAGAGCCCTAGAGGTCCGGACCGCCTCCACTTCTTCCTGTGGAGACCCTCAGCCCCTCATTTTCCCAGGCTGTAGTAATAACAAGATCTTGTTATTGAGCAATGGCTATCGCTAAGAGATTAGCATGACCTTGCTTGGACAGCAGCTACACCAGCTGTGCTTAAAGTTGCTGAGTCGATACCCTCCCAGTTCCTGTGGGCCTGCATGCCTCTTTTCACGTAGCCAGTTCTCCACAATTAATAGAATGTGAGTCAGAATACATTACACCAATTTTACCAGTTAAGAAACCGAATGGAACATATAGATTGGTACAAGATTTAAGGGCAGTAAACGAAATCACAAAAACCCTGCATCTGGTCGTAGCAAACCCTTATACACTCCTGACCAGATTAAAGAATAACCTAATTTGATTTACAGTATTAGATTTAAAAGATGCATTCTTCTGCCTTGCCTTAGCCCCAGAAAGCCAGAAAATTTTTGCCTTTGAATGGGAGTCTGTTAGCAAAGGTAGGAAAACACAACTAACTTGGAGGGTCTTACCTCAAGGTTACAAAAATAGTCCCACAATCTTTGGAGATCAACTATCTAAGGAATTGGAACAATGGGAACAGCCACAGGGAGAGGGCGTTCTTCTACAATACGTAGATGATTTACTCATAGCAACTGAAACTGAGGAAAAATGTATAGAGTGGACAATCTCATTGTTGAATTTCTTGGGACTAAACGGATATCGAGTCTCTCAGCAGAAAGCCCAGATGGTGCAAGAAAAGGTGGTGTACCTGGGATACGAGATCTCCGGAGGACAGTGATCTCTGGGAACAGGGAGGAAAGAAGCCATCTGCCAGATGCCCAGACCAGAGACGGTGAGAGATATGTGAGCCTTTCTGGGAATGACAGGATGGTGTTGTTTATGGATATACCAGTATGGGATACTTGCAAAACCTCTTTACGAACTGCTAAAAGAAACCAAAGGTGTTCTAGTCTGGACACCGGAAGTAGAAGCAGCCTTTAAGAGACTGAAACAGGAACTGATGAAGGTCCCAGCACTGGACCTGCCAGATGTAACTAAACCATTCTTGCTATTCTCACATGAACGACAGGGAATGGCCTTGGGTGTCCTGGTTCAAAAACTCGGACCCCACAAAAGAGCCATAGCCTGTGGAGAACTGGCTACGTGAAAAGAGGCATGCAGGCCCACAGGAGCTGGGAGGGTATCGACTCAGCAACTTTAAGCACAGCTGGTGTAGCTGCTGTCCAAGCAAGGTCATGCTAATCTCTTAGCGATAGCCGTTGCTCAATAACAAGATCTTGTTATTACTACAGCCTGGGAAAGTGAGGGGCTGAGGGTCCCCACAGACAAGAAGTGGAGGCAGTCCGGACCTCTAGGGCTCTTACCAAACATGTAGTTAAAATACAGAATATTAATAAGCTCATTATCTATCCTATATTTTGCTGTGGTGTGTGTTCAATAAATGGAACATGTTGATTCTCATATTGAGTGTCTCTGCTTTCCCGCGTCTGCGACAGTAGCCTACTTCTCTAAACAATTAGATGAAGTAAGCAAAGGATGGTCTACCTGTTTGAGGTCAGTAGTTGCGGTGATAATGAACATAGAAGAAGCCAGAAAGTTTACAATGGGCCAGAAAATAACTGTTCTAGTATCCCATACTGTATCATCAGTACTGGAACAGAAGGGTGGCCATTGGTTGTCACCTTCCAGGTTCCTGAAATATCAGGCAATCCTAGCTGAATCAGATGATATAACCATTCAAGTGACTAACGTTGTCAAGCCAGCTTCATTCCTAGAAGGAAGAATGTCAGTAGAGCCTGTCGAGCATGACTGCCTGGAAACAATCGAAGCTGTGTATTCCAGCCGTCCGGACCTTACAGAGGAACCACTTGAAGATGCGGAAGACTGGTTCACGGACGGTAGCAGCTTTATGAGGCATGGAGTGAGACTGGTAAGTTATGCAATAACCACAACAGAACAGGTAATCGAATCAAACCCTTTACCTGCAGGGACCTCGGCACAAAAAGCAGAACTGATAGCTCTGACCCGAGCTCTTAAACTATCAGAAGGACAACGAATTAACATTTGGACAGATTCTAAATATGCTTTCTCCGTTGTACATGTTCATGGAGCAATCTGGAAGGAGAGAGGACTGCTAACGACCCACGGGAAAGCTGTAAAACATGCTGAGGAAATCCCACGATTGTTAGAAGCTGTCCAACTCCCAAATCAGGTGGCCATAATGCATTGCAAGGGACACCTAAGAGGTAACACCATTCCAGAAATCGGTAACCGAAAAGCTGATGCAGAAGCTAAATTATCTACTGCAAGAACTGATGAGGTAATTGTATCAACCCTAGTTCCAGAGGAATTAAATACTAATTTTAAGCCAGAGTACCAGGACTCAGATCACAGGTGGATACAGACAAACAAAGGTAAGATGCTAGATAACGGGTGGAGCCAGTTAGAGACAGGACAATTAGTACTTCCAGAAAAATTAAACTGGCAATTTGTAAAAGCAGAACACGAAAAGGTCCACTGGGCCTTAGATCCCCTCTATCAGTACTTAAAAGCCAGGATAGCAGGACCAAAGTTTTTCACAGCAATTAAGCAAGTCACATCTCGATGTGAACGTTGCTTGAAGAATAACCCCAATGCAGGGACTAGAATACAGAAAGGGGCAATTAACAGGGGAAAATTCCCCGGAGAAGTGTGGCAAATTGATTTCTCTGAACTTCCAAGAAAAGGGGGGTATAGATACCTCCTTGTTTGGACAGACACATTTTCTGGGTGGCCTGAAGCATTCCCGTGCAGGACAAATAAAGAGAGGGAAGTAACCAAAGTCCTGCTAAATGAAATCATACCGAGATTTGGGGTACCTAAAAGTATCTCCTCAGACAGAGGCTCACACTTTTGTGCCAAAATTGTAAGAGCAATAAGTAAAGCATTACAAATCAATTGGCAATTGCATACACCTTAGAGAAAATGAATCATCTCATCAAACAACAAATTGCCAAAATCTGCCAAGAAACCAATTTGCAATGGTACCAGGCTTTGCCTATTACTCTGATTAGGCTGAGAGTGAAGCCTCGTTCAAAAGAAAAGCTGAGTCCATTTGAAATTCTGTATGGTAGACCTTATGCAATGCAAGTTGTTAACAGCGAAGCTGTGGATCAAATAGGCAATCAATACATATATGACTATGTAATAGCAGTGGGAAAACATTTTGATAAAAATGCCACAGTGGTAATAGATAACCAACCCAAACAACCTGACTGTAAATTGCATCCTTTCCATCCCGGTGATTGGGTATATGTTCAGAATCTTTTAGGAAAACCTCTGCAGGAAAAGTGGGAAGGACCATTCCAGGTGCTACCGACCACCTTCACGGGGATCCGGATTAAGGAACGACCTGCTTGGATCCACTACTCCCGAGTCAAGAAAGCTCCAGAGAACCCACAAGAGAATTCCTGAAGGAACCCACTACCATGGACTGGCAGACTCCAGCATTATTCCTTGGACTCTTGATAAGTATAACCTCAGCACAAAACGTTACCATGGAATGGCCATGGTCAAATGCACGAATTATCGAATCAATATTTTTGACTGGGGAAGATCCAGGACCTAAGCCAGGCATAGCCATTTACGTCCTACACAATAACAAACCATACACAAAACAGGACTGGATTAAACCCCCGAAATCATTACCCACTGTAATAGGAAAATGGAATGAAGAAATACAAATAGGGTGCAGAGGTATTCATACTTTACCACAAAAGACTAAACTGATCGAATTGGTAGTGAAATCCTTGACAAACCAATTGCTCACATTTAACCAAATAAATAATAATATTTGGGTTAAAAGAAAGGGTCCAATTTCATGCCGAAAAGACAATATAAAAGAGAATGAACAACACAAAGCCAAGTGCGAAACCAAAATACTACTAGATCAATCAGTGTCAGTTCAGTGCACTTGGGAAAGTAAAAATAGAGGTATTTCTGAGATGTTTATCATCAACCTTGAAGCAAGCTCCACTACCAAGCCACCTGAAAAAGGAATGAACAAAACCACAGTTCCTACTCCAAACTGCAAGGGAATACATAATCTGACCTTTATAGGACCCCATGTAGTGCGACAATCTAATGAACTAAAATTACTATTTGATCCCACATATTCACTGAAAAGAATCCAAGTAAGTGTCCAGATAAATGTCACACACATACAGAAGGACTGCCAGCCCTTCATACAACAAAGCCTTAAAGGCTGGAAGGCATGGTTGGCTGCCAGATCACACTCACGACATGTACGAAGAGATGCGACCAGATGGCTTGGCACGGGTTAAGGAGTTCTAAACACAATAGACCAGGAAGTACTAGTAAATAAGCTGAGTGTTGTCACATCCAACCTGGGGAAACTTAAAGTGCCTCTAAGCTCATCCATGCTTATTCTAGCTGAAACACAGTCACTAGCAGTTCAATTATTAACCCTAGTAGCCAACCATACGTCCCAGGATTTTCTCAGAATCACTGATTATATTGGAAAGGCTAACAAAAAAATTGCACTCGCCTTCCAGTGCATACAAACACAACAATGGGTACAAACAGTAGCTGCAGGAATACTAAGAGAGGGAACATCAGGAATACTACCTCAGGAAATAAAAGCCACAAACAGTTCCACCACCCAATTTGAAAAGAATTATCAGGCATGGTGGCAACTACTGAATTTTACTTATAATCCGCAAAATGAACAAATTGAGGCCTACGTGCTTACTATTAGCGCTGCCAAAGAGAGAATTATTTTTCCTGTCCTGACCTTAGGGACCATACATCAGAATGTCATAGTTTGACCCATAAGTCATAACATGTGGGCACACTATGATTCCTCCAAGAACAAATGGCAGTCAATCAGCATGGAAGCCTGTATCCCTAAAGAACAACTAGGATACATCTGCGAAAATGCAGTCATAGAAAATGAAGATTTGTGCTTAGATGTTGAGAATAGTGTGTGTACTTTTGAGATGCTTCCCCATAATATAAACCAATCGCAAGTGTACTATGTAGGAAACGGATGTGCATGTATTAGAACATTTTGTATCTATGTTTTTACTGATCATTGCTATGTAGAAATGAATGGTACTAACTTTTGTGTATGTAATTTTACTAGGATAGTAAGTTGTGATTTTAATTATACTGTTCCTATTACTACTAAGCAACTAATTGAGGTTAAATATAGTTTGTATCATGATATACCAAAATTACAGATAGGAATGGAACCTGATCTTTTTAAAGCAATGCTTAAGCACCCTGACATAGACTAGTCCAAGAAGTAAATAGAAAGTCTCAACGAATGATTTGGCAGGTTGAACACGACTCCACCAGTATAACAAATGTCCTGACTAAAATAGAACAAACGGGACAGCATCATTGGTGGGATATCTTTACAGGACAATCCCCTTCGGCAACAAAAGTGTTCAACTACCTAATACATCCAATATTAATTATAGTAATAACCATGCCTTTGCTGTCTCTTCTAAATATATGGTTGTGGTATAGGTTACACTCTATAATCAAAAGGACCCAAATAATATGGGCAATAATTCACACCCATACTTCATTGGAACTTGACGAAAGAGTTCGTAAGTTCTAAAAAAGGGGGGAATGAAGCAAGACAAGGTTTTAGAAGAGTTAATCGAAACACTTTTACTGTAAGAACCACTTCTCTCCCCCCTCCCTCTTCTGTATTGCTCAAAGGAAGACTATGTTCTGTACTAGTGCACCAGACCCAGAAACCCACATCAAACACTGAACAAGGAGCTCAGCACTAATAAATCTTACCTAGGGGAGCCAGGCTAGACATTTGAATAGGTAAAATAGGCCTGAAGCCAAGCCTTTTCCCATGCTCTACCGATCAGAACATAGAACAATAGAAAGAACAGAAGGTTACGAGGTCAATTGCTGATGAAGAGGAAGATCGAGACCCTTTGACAAAGTAAAGACTGGATCTACCCCAAATTATTCCTCAAAATTGAAGACCATGCCTCCAACTCCACCCTGACCCCTCCTGCTATGAATATTGTAAT